TTGATTTAAACTGGGCCAATGTTTTCAGGGTATAAAGACTATATTGTAGTTGAATAATCTCGATGTTTGGGCATTCATACCATGAATGAATGTATGATATGATATAAGGGCTGTCCAGTCGGCGCAGGTATTTGACATCCCGTGCAGTACCCAGTAGTGTGCGCTCATCTAGTAGTTTAAATTATATTTTAAAAAAATAATTAAAAAATTTTAAAATAAAATTATTTATAAACATTTATAACTTGTATACATATATTGAAATGTTAAAATTGCCGCGTTAAATTAATATACTTAAAATTGTTATCACTAAAAACACTTTCACTTTGGCATAATGACAATAAGTTTAGTTTATATTTTAGAATTATAAATTAATCCTGATAATTTCTAATTAAGATAATGTAGCCGCACCCTAATCTTTGTATTTTATTTATATTATTAATTTTTATGTACCATATAACCTAATAAATCTCATAATTTATCTATTTAAAGTAATTAAATTATTAAAAATAATTAATATATTTAAGAAATAATTAAAATTACAAATACCTGGCTCATTACCTGTAATGCTGACCCTTTTGAAAGTATACAAGTGATCTGTGCGGTCATCCCTGGCCGTACATATGTTAATATTACTCCCGACGTAAAGGCTGTTAATTATAGTGAAGGCATCGTTGAATATACCACAAACATACTGTTCCCCTATGATTACATGAGCATGACCACTACCCTCCACACCTTCACCCACATCCACATCCATCCCATTCAGGTTAAAGTGTTAGTTAACACTTCGTAATTTGAGAAAGAAATACGTTTTTCAAATCATTGTATTTATATACATTAACATTATACAATAGTCGGAAACAATGACTATTACAGTAATAATACTGTAGATTAGTTTCATATCTTAATTAGAGATAAGAGTTGAGAGTTAATGTTAAATAACAACTCTTTGGCGACTTATATACAGGTATTGATTATAAAATGTTTACAGAAATAATAAATGGCTGCAATATGTAAGTTTTATTTATTTTTAAAATAATATATTTTTCTAGTTTAATTT